AACTATAAACTTTATATCGATCCCTATCCTTGTATCAAGTACCTGAAATTTTTACATTAAATTAGTTGAGCTATTCTTAGTTTAGGTTGACAGGTCTCTAAAATTATGCATTATATAGTATTTGTGCAACATTAGGTGGAGTTCATAAAGTACGTTTGCAGTTATGGGGTAGGAGTAAACAGGAGATGTTCAAAACAGCAAGTACATACACGATTTCACTATCGAGCTCATGAACTTTTCCTAAAGTTTGATTTCTTTTTTAACAAAAAACAATGCATTTTTCTTCTGGGTCTTTTACTCAACTGCAACATTTGTTGTCCTTCTAAACTGCCTAGCTTTTAACTAAATACAGAAAATCTTGAATTAGCAAAAAGCTTTGATCTTGTTTGTTTTTAATATTTAGAAATTTTACTGGAAGAGGGTCTCAATTTTCTAATTATTAATCCATACACTGAGATGCCTAATAAAAAATGGGTTGGGGACAAACAGGTGGGTGAAATTTTTGTCCAGATCTAATAAATAGGTAGAAACTCTAAGTTTTATTAGTTAGTTTATTATTTTAAATTTTCATGGCCAGTTTGAAAGTTTTTTTTGTTTTAAAATTAAGTTTTTTTATTAATTACGATTAAAATTAATAAAAGTGAGTGGGAAAATTTTTTGAAAATTGATAAACATGACCTCCCATGTATTAAGCACCTGAAAGTACAAATGTAGGGGGGAGGAGAGGAAATTTTTGTATGAAAAGGCAATATTGTCAGGTCTTGATTTTTATTAATTTCATAAAATAAATTCATATGCTAACTTTTATGGGAAAAATGTTTCTGCCAACTAAACAAGAGTGTGTATATATATATATATATATATATATATATATATATATATATATATATATATATATATATATATATATATATATATATATATATATATATATATATATATATATATATATTATAATAGAATAATATATATATATATATATACAATAATATATATAATATATATATATATATATATATATATATATATATATATATATATATATATATATATATATATATATATATATATATATATATATTATAATAGAATAATTTAATTTATTATTGCTCTGTTCTTTAAGAAAATTGAGTACTCTATTTTTATATTTGTAGAATACACAAATATATTTATATATATATAAATATATATATACATATATATATATATATATATATATATATATATATATATATATATATATATATATATATATATATGTATATATATGTATATATATTATGTTAGTGTATTCTACAAATAGAGTGCTCAATGTTCTTAAAGAGAAATAATAAATTAGTAAAATCGCTTATCTAATTTTGTTCTTCTACAAGCTGTTTCACCATCGAATAGCTCATCAGGAAGCTTCCTGTATATATATATATATATATATATATATATATATATATATATATATATATATATATATATATATATATATATATACACAGTGCTCAAAGTGAATTATAAAAAGTAACAATATGGTTTTCAGTAAATTAAAAATACCATTTTGCATAATCATTATGTGAGGAGATTTATGAAAAGGTGGCAAGACGGTTTATACTTTATAAAAAGGTGACAGGATGGCATTCTGTCCTCACTGTACATAAAAGACATTATATATGAAACTAATAATATCTTTTTTATTCAACGTATAACTTGCTATATTTTTATTTAAAGAGAATTAAGTTGTTTTAGCCATAACATTTTCATTAAATTTGTGGCTATAAAAATAACAATTTTTTATCTTTCAGAGCAGATAGCTGAAAGCCTGAAAACCAGAGTTAAGGAGCAACTACATTGCTGCACATTGCTTTTCTTAAACTCTGTTCTTATAGAAGATTTGCGTGTTTGTCGCATGTTGATCTGATGTTTTTCACAAATATCTCTAGCATAGGAAAAGCTTCTTACCCTCGTGAACAAAATAAGCATACTTTCAAGAAGAGAGAAAGATATTTCTTTATCAATCTGGACTTCAGTATTGTAACATATATTGTTTAAGTTACTTATAATAACTGAGTCCTTAAGCATTTCATTAACCAGGGCTTTGCTGTCAATAGATGTTACTAAAGATTTGCTTTGTTTATGAAAAATTCATTCACATTGAATAAAGATATTTTGAGTATAAATTTTAGTTTTAAATAAACCACCTCTATTCTTAGTATCATTATACAGTTGGGTATCATTTGAATCAATTTTGCATGCTGATAATATTTCCATGCATTGTCTTTTATACTCCTCAGATTTAGAAAATTTAAACTTTGAGTAAAGTTTTTGCACAACATAACCAGCCAAATATTGAATTATACTTAATTCTTTCTCAGAAAAATTATTGGGTGATAAAATTTCATTATAAGATGAAGTATTATATTTATTTCCTGAAAGATCTTGAAGTATATGATTGGCAACTTCAGTAAGCAAAGTATTGGTCAATAAAATATCATCAAACTTTGATGGCAATAAATTTTCATGAAAAAGCCCATTAAATTGAGAATAAAATTTTTCTGCATCATCATTGTACTTTGAAATAAAAGCCTGTAATTTTTCTAAAAGAGAAATAGAATCTTCAAAATTTAAACTAAAGCTCTGCTTTAAAAATTTAACTCTAATTTCTTCAGGCAAACATAAATCATTTGACAATTTATAAGCAGAATCTTCAACAATGTTTTTAAGATCAAGATGACAAAATGTTATGGAGTTTTTGTTTTCGCTCACTGGGTTGATTACTTCGTGTTTCGAAGTTGTGTGTCTTTTTAAGCCATTTTTCGTTTTATAACTTTTACAACACAAGTTGCACGAAAAATTGGATAGCAAACAATCTTCAAATAATAAAAAATCTAGATCATGCTCAATTTCCTTGTTATTGTCAAAAATTCCATCAGTAATCGCTATATACAGATCATAAAGCTGTGTTTCTATATAAATTTCATTGCTCATTTTTTAAAGTTGTGCAGGGTGAACAGGCCGAATATCAAATTTTAAGTTAAAACGGTAAAACAATGGAAACAGCCCATGCTTTTAGACTATCTATTTCTTATGACTATGGTTAATATCAGCTTAATTAATAATAAGATCAAAAACTTTTTATTTTAATTCTGTCGTTAAGAATAAAGCTAATGCTAAATTTTAATGAGTATAGTAACTTTTAAAATCAGGTAATTTATTTAGTTTTATTCATTTAATTCATGCATTTTATTACAAAAACAATTAATTTAATACTAACACAATTATTTTTTAAGTAATGAACTCATAACATTGTGTTAGAAGTTTTAATATGATTTACAATATCGATTCACAGAAATCTGACCTAAAACACAAAATTTTCTGTATTTCTTTTGTCAGACTCAAAACTTTTTAACTTATTTTTCAAACAAACAACTTTTATACATATTTCTAAATATTTGAATAACAGTTTAAATATCATTTGATAAAGTTGCTGCACATTAGTAAGTGACCAGGGTTGATATTTGACCAGGGTCGAGTTTAACAAAACTTAGCCGGGGCCAGGTTTATGACCAGGGCTGCATTAATATTGATAGACCATATAAATATACTATTTATATCATCATCATCATTATCGTCATCGTCATCATCATCATCATCATCATCATCATCATTATCGTCATCATCATTAGCATCATCATCATCATCATTAACGTCATTATCATCATCATCATTATCATCATCATCACCTTCTCCTACTTTTGCTCCTAATGACTTTTCTGCTCCATCAACTGATCTAATTGGATCTCCAAGATAACAAAACTTACTAAAGCACTCTGTTTTTCCATCTGGGATGCTGAATCATCAGAATCAGAGGAAGAAGCTTAAATTTTTATAGAATGTTTATAGAATTTCTTATTTGCTATTGTAAATTTTATAAATTATATTATATTTGTATATATTATTTTTTTGACTTTTTCATAGATTTTTAAAAACTTTTATAATAAATATGAAAAACTTTTAAAATAAATATAAAAAAACTTGAACAAAATTAAAAAAAAGAATTGAGAAAAAATCCAGCCCGGGCTAGTAACCCCTGCAAATTGTGTTTGTTTAGCCAGGGCTAGGCGTGCAAAAAGCTCTGTTTTTAGCTGGGGCTGGGGCCAGGAACCTGGTCACTTACTACTATACGTGTAAGTTTAACACGCCATATATATATATATATATATATATGCATAAATAAGTAAAAAATGATTTTAGATGTATTCAACAAAATAACAAAAGTGCTCATTGCTCTTAAAAGAATAATAATAATAATAAAAAAACAGTAATAATAAATTGAAAGAAAAAAAGGTGTTACACAACGAAAAACTTAAAAAAAATCGAAGTTTCGAAAAATCGAAATTATTTGAAAATGTGAAATTTAAAAAATCGAAATTATTTGAAAATGTGAAATTTAAAAAATTTTGTAATTTCTACAAAGCAAATAAAACAAAAACAAAATACAATTAAAACTTTTTACCAATGCCGATATGACAGTTGCACCTCATAAATAATACTATTTATCAGTTGTGCTACAACAACGTCGCATTAAAGGAAAAATTATTAGCTTTAAACTATTTATTAAAATTTTTTTAAATTAAAAAATATATTAGTTTTAAATTTCTCTGGCTTTTTATTTACTTTATCATTTGTCAAGTTAATTTCTCTTTTCAGTTTATGGTTTCTTTATTTTTAATTTTCTCTTTAAATTAGTTGGTTTATTCACGCAAAATATCAATATATGCAAAAACTGTTGTTGGCCATGTTGTCAAAAAAAAAAAAAATTGTGTTGTCATATACTCTTTCTATTATATATTCTTTTCTTTTTTGAGAAGGCTTGATATATATATATACATACATATATATATATATATATATATATATATATATTATATATATATATATATATATATATATATATATATATATTATACATATTATACTTATCGAAGTAAACAATAGGCTATAACAAATACCTGAACAAATCTAAGACAGGAAGAGAGTCTTTAGCTTCCCCTGAGTCATGCTTAAGAAGATGTATCATGTATTCTTCTGGACTTGAACCATACATATGTGTCATGGATGGTCGACCAAGATTAGTTATTTCTTCTTCATGAGTATTTTTGCGTAAGCGCAAAACGTAATGCTGTTATGAATAAAAACTTTATTATTATAGAAAACAATAATATATATATATATATATATATATATATATATATATATATATATATATATATATATAATTATATATATATATATATATATATATATATATATATATATATATATATATATATGACATAAATTGACAAAATCAAGTAAACTTTATGTAAAAACCATTAAACTAATTAAGGAAACTAATTGATTAAATTTAATTATTTTAATAACCCACAAATTTAAATATTTTAATAACCCACAAAACTAATTAAAGAAAATTTTTACAAAAAGCTTAATCTAAATAAAGAAAAACAAGTAAAATGGAGCACAGCTAACTGAAAACAGATGGAGAACAGATGCCATAAATATAAAGAAATAAAGGACATTAATAACAAGTTAAATGATTTAGTAGTAAAACAAATAGGCAATGTAATAACAATTAGTACACAATGCTATGATGTGGTAAGCGGAAAAGTTAAAAAAACTCTAAGTGTTGCAGCAAAAGTATAAAGTCAAAAAGAAAAAAATTTGGTATTAATGTATAAGATAAAAATGTTTAGAAGTTTTGATGAATAAAATTAACGCAAATGCAAAAATATTGAAGCATAACCACCTCAAATTGAAAAGTACAAGCAAAGTACCACCAGTAATTGTAGAATTGTGTAGTCTTGGACTGCATAATGAATTACTTAAAGCAGCAAAAAGATTAATAGGACTTGAAAAAATGAAAAAATTTCTATTAAATTTTAGTTGAGCAAAAGAAACGTCTGAATGAAAAAAACAAGGATGCAAAATTATTTTAGTCAACCAACACTTTATTTTAGGATGTATTTATAAACCTTACATGAACAATCCTATATTTATAATTACTTAATCTATCGCACATGCAAAATATTCAGCAACAACACAGTATGACAAATTAATATTGTGCAGTGATATTAAAATAAATCGCCCACTATAAATCGGAAAAATGGTGACGCTATATCAGTTAAAGACACTAACACTAATTTTTTGGTAAATCACTTGACTGTTTATCTGATTCTTATTCAACTCAACTCCTCACGGAGTTAATTTTTCAAGTTGAGACATTCACGTCAACTTTGGTACTTACAATATTCTTAACAAAAGAATTGGTTAAGCACTTAAGAATTGGATAATTTATTTGCTGCCTTTATTAAACTTGGAAAAACGACATAATGTCTAGACTTTTCATTTCAGAATAAAAAAAACCACAACCAATTATAATAATCAAAAGAATGTTTCATAATACAAATTACGAAGTAATGTCTGAATTTTTTGCAAACTGTAATTGCAAAACTAATGTTGTAAACTGAAATGTTAATAAATATTAGATAACTTTTTAAATATTTATTATAATGTGTGTGATAAATTTATCAAATATGTAAAAACAATTTGTAAATCAATGAAGTGGATGTCACCAAGTCAAGAAACAAACTTTGGTTTAAATGTAGAGTAAGTGGTTTTAACAAAGCAAAACTGTTACAAGAGATGTTACAGAGCATATTAGAATATAAAAAGTTACAATACCGCTATTTGATTTCATATCAGTTCACAATATAATAGTGAATTTATACCCAAATAAACTTGTTGGTCTAGATGGAGTGAGTTTTTTAGTAATAAAAAAACTGTGCACATGCATTAGCATGACCTTTAAGCTATATATTTACACTTTTAATACAGTCAGGTACTTTTCCAGATCAATGAAGTGTGCATACGTAATACCATTATTTAAAAAAGGTAGTAGACTAGACATAAACATTTATTGCCTAATTTCTTTGATGTCCATTATATATAAAGTATGGAAAAAATTATCAAAGTCGGTTTGGTCAGACACTTAGTAGAAAATCACTTAATTTGAGTAGTCAACATGGGTTCAATTACTTATTCCCGATCTGAAAATTATGTAGTTGATATAGTATTAATTGGATTTTGCTAAAGTGCTTGATGTTGTTTTCACACAGATATTTGATACAAAAACTTTCTGGTTATGAAATTGTTCTGGTCATGAAATTGTTGGCACGTGGATTAAATCATTTCTAAAATACTGTCAGCAAAAAGAAGTAGTAATGGCTTCTTTATCTAATTGGAAAGCAGTTTGAAGTGGAGCACCGCAAGGTTCCATGCTTAGACCAGGATGACATAAAAAAATAGTGAAATAGTCAGAAACATAGCTTCTTTACTTGAATCATACAAAATATAAAGTAATGCCTTGGCAAATCAAATAACAATCACACCTTCACAATTCCATCCAAACAATCACACCTACAAAATTCCATCCATACAATCACACCTATATAATTCCATCAAAAAGTAATGAAATAGTTTAAAGCAGCACAAATGAAGATTTTGGTATTATTTTATATAGCAGTATGAAGCATTATAATGATATATGCATCAAACCAATCAAATAGAATGCTTGGAATGATAAACATTGCATACACTTATTTGGTTATTAAACTACTCAAAACATTATACACAGCTTTTGTTAGACCTCTTTTAGAATTTGTAAAATCTGCTTTGAACATTTACCAAAAAAACTTTTTTTTTTTAAATTGCCAAAATAGTGGAAAAATGAGCTGGAAAAAGTACAACATAGAGCAACTTGTCCATCACTCAGAAAATTAGAATTCCATCACTCAGAAAACTAGAACTCCATCACTCAGAAAACTAGAATACAAAGAGAGATTAAGAATTTCGAGTTTTCAACCACTAAAGTAGAGTTAAGGAAATTCTAATTAAGTGTTTTAAAATAATCTTTTATTTTAACAACACATCTAAAATGAATAAAAAACAATTTCAATTTCAATTAGGTTACTTTAAATTTAGGCGCCCAAAACCAGAATTGGTTACACAAGCTCTTGCTTGTTGTGGTATAATAAATACAACTACATCGACTGACAAATAGGTAGAACATGCAAAAAGTGCTTCTACATAAACTGAAAAATAGGCTAAATTGACAGAGGGTTTTGGTTTGGAAGGTAATTTATCAATTAAATAAAAAAAGCTTTTTAAACTTTTTCTGGTCTTCTAAATTAATTTTTATGGTAGAAATTAAAGACGACAAAGCAAGAGTATATATATATATATATATATATATATATATATATATATATATATATATATATATATATATATATATATATATATATATATATATATATATATACATATACATATACATATATATATATATATATATATATATATATATATATATATATATATATATATATATATATATATATATATATAAATATATATATATATATAAATATATATATATATATATATATATATATATATTTATATATATATATATATATATAGCCTGACTCGCAAGGGAGTGCTGCTACATCGACTGAGGGTTTGGTTTGGGCAGGCAGTCTATCATTAAAAAAAAAAAAATTTAAGTTTTTAAATTTTTCTGGTCTGGTTTATTAACGCGCTCTTCAAAACTACAGTTTATGGGAAACTCTTTTCAACTACCATGCAAGAGTATATATATATATATATATATATATATATATATATATATATATATATATATATATATATATATATATATATATATATATATATATATATATATATAATGTTTTTTAATTTGTCCCTGAAAATGCACATTTATTCACTGGTCCCCGAAAATACACAATTTTTTCCATGTCTTTATAATAAAGTTTAAGAAAAAAAATTGCAGTATTTGCAAAAATATAAATTATATACTACGTCTTGTCATGTCACAGAGCACAGTGAATCTATTGGTTTGCAAAAACTAAAGTCATTTTTAAATCAGCGCTATAGTAATTTTTTAAATTAAACTTGTTTTTTAGTTGGTCCCCGAAAATAAACATTTTTTTACTGTTCCCCAAAAATACATATTTTTTTGCATCTCTAAGGAAATAAAGTATAAAATTTCAAAAGTAATAACATTTTTTATGGAAAGTTCGTGTATCTAGGCCTTCTCATTTTTATATAAAAAATAAATAGTCTTAAGTTATGCGTTCTAGTCGAATGATTAGTTATAAGACTTTTTATTTTTTGTTTCTACATTGATTCTAAGAAAGCATTTGCGATAGCAAGTTATAATTGGACGTATTTTTGATGGTGTAAGAGAAATTTTTGCCGCTGTTATATTTAATTGTAGACTTTTTTTTTAATTTTGCTCAGAACTATTAGTCAAATTTGTTATTTATTTAAGTGTTGCAATCAAGTAACACTAGATAAACTTGTTGAAAAAAATTTGGGATTAAATAATTTTGTAATATACTTTATGCGCCTATCTTTGTGAAAGCTTTTTTGAAGAGCGGCCTTAGGTACAATAGCTTGTGATTTTAGGTACAATTAAAAAAATTTATTGTACCTAGAGCCACAAATTTTTAGACGCTTTCAATTTAATATTTTATACCTAAATTAATACAAATTAATTAATATAGAGATGTGATCATATCAGTTTCACTATTTATAGACAAGCCTTGAGTTTAGACATTGAATAAACCTGTTTAAAAATCCTTGTGCAAAATTTTTAAAACCCTTGTCCAAATTTAAAAGATTTGCGTAAACTTTTTTTTTAATGGATTGCTAATTTAATTTGATAAAAGTTTATAAATGGCCTCCTTGTTATGACTTGTTATGTCAAAGAGTATAATCAAGGAAGCTGTGTTAACTAAATTAAACAAATTTTATTTTGTCTTTAAAAATAAAGCCGATCTTGATACCAAAACAAGTTAAAACAGGCGCTCTAACTACTGAGTTTTAACAGGATATTTTCTATAGCTGGAGTGGCTATAAAAATGACAAAAAATAAAAAAAGTTAACTTTTTTATAACTTAATTCCTAATACTTGGTTTGCAAAATGATGGTCATTTTTAAATTGACGCTAAAGATACTAAATTTTTCAAATTAATTTTGTTTTACAATTTATCCCGAAAATGCACATTTTTTTACATGTTTCCGAAAAACACATATTATTGTATGTCCCCGTAAATGACCATTTTATGTTTAAAAAAGTTACGGAGACCATTTTTTACAAAAAATTTATATATTTAGTTTTCATTAAGTCTATAAATTAACCTCATGTTGCTGCGTAAAAAAAAAAAAGAAAAAAAATTTTAAACAAAGCTTTCACAGATAATTTTTGAATTTAAATTTGTCCCCGAAAATATACATTTTTACAATGTTCCCGTTAATGATCAAAAAGGAGTGTGTGTGTGTGTGTGTGTGTATATATATATATATATATATATATATATATATATATATATATATATATATATATATATATATATATATATATATATATATATATATATATATATCCCTCAGAATTAGGGTTAGCTTAATTACCGATCTAAAAGTGTACTGGTAAATTTAAAATACCCAAAAGTATATAGGTAAATTTCAATTTAAATTTCAAAATCTACCTGTTTTAAAATCCAAATATAAGTAAACTATAATTTAAAAATACAGTTGAAAATTCACATTACTGATGTAAAACAAAAAATATTTACAAATTACAAATAATAAAATATATTTTTATATTATAAATTATAAACCTAATGCCTTACTTTGATGAGGCATGCAAGGCTCTTAAGCCATGATAAAATATGATTTGCAAAACAGATTAAAAAATTAAAGGGCATCTGATTATAAAAAAATTCAACTCTTTCATGTCATAATTGTTTATAAAAATGTCATTATGGAAACCTGTCTAAACAAATATGGAACAGTAGACATTAAACTTTAAAAAGAAGTAAAAACCAAATAACTTTGCAACCTTTGTATCAAAATTTTGACCAACTTCTAACTGTTTCTCAAGAGAATTCAAAATATTATTCATCCATATCCAGCTACCAGATAAAATTTTTTTTGCTTCTTTCATGAGTTCTAATTCAACTTCATTTGTTAACTTAATTGGTTGCAGTACAAAAACTCCAGTATTCTTAAAATATAATAATAATATATTATAACAATAGTATAACAAATAAATAATCAAATATTAAATACTTAATAGGGTGGAGCTTATTTTTGAACTTTTGAAATATGATCTTCTTACCCTATCATTTTGTACCTATATATAAAAAAATAATTCAGGCAAAATATGAGAACAATTAAACAATATTTAGGGGTAGCTCAATGATGATAAAGTTTCGGATACTCAACAGCTGCGGTTTGGCTACACTTGATTTTTACATAATATTATTACTTATACCAGAATAATTCTCTTGTTAAATTAAGAACTTAATTTTAACTACAAAGCTAAATTGCACTGTCCTAAATCATCATCTACTCCACAATTATGGTCTATACTATCATATTTGATCATTGACCAACCGATGCAATCATGGCAAATGGAAATAACCCAGATTCAATTTTTTGCTGACTATGTAATTTTTACATAAATCAAAACATAATCCCAGACAGACAGGATCACTAGCTAGACAGACTTGTTTACTGCAATGCTGAGTTGCTGATAAGCAACACTGTTAAAGCTGTATGCTTATTTTGTTTACTAAATAGAGGCATTGTTTTAGTTATTAAAATATAAATGGCAATTTAAGTTGAAATATTGTTTAAATAAATTTTCTTGATTTTCAAATTTAAAGAAGATTTCTATAATTTTGGTGTTGACTTTCTTCTCTCCAGTACCTGATTCTCATCAATTGGTAAATTAAAAGATTGATATATTAAAATTCCTTAACTCTTTGTGTCTTGTGAGTGTAAAACTGTAAATAGTAAATATGTTAATAATTAATTAATTCTATATTATAATATGGATAATGCTGATGAATGTGATGATGATGATGATGATGAGATAAATAAATGAACATAAATTATATGTAATATACAATATATTTTTAAAAATAACTAAATAAACCATACAATACATGTTAAAATTTCTGACTTCAAATGGTCAAATTTTTCCAATGCATTTTTTATATTTATTTCAGATAAATATTCAATTCTGAATTATTGAAAATGTCATCTCGGGCAAAATTAACTAGATCTCAAACTGAGTTGTATCTACTTGGCGAAACTATTACTGAATTAACAGGCTTGGTCGGGAAGCCGGAGCGATCGCTCTCGATTGCTGACCACATAAATAATATTTAGTTGCAAAAAGCTGGCCAGATTTTTTAGTCGTTTTGAGAACATTTTAAAAAGCAAAAAAAAAAAAAAAAAAAGCGCAAAAGATTAATTGAACCGATGAGACACAATTACAAAAAAAAAAAAAAAAAATTAGGCAAATAAAATATCTTTAAACGCGAAAAAACTTTAAGCTAAATAAATTACGTTTAGAAAAAATATTTTCGAAACACCGCTCTTTTTTTTTTTGTAAAATTAAGCGATGTTTTTTATATAAAGTAACAACTTACGGTTGTTTAAAAAGGAAACAAATGCTCTTTATTTAGCAGAGTTTGCAAGTTTTAGTTTTATTTAAGCTAAATTATTTTATAAACAAAAAATTTATTTTTTTCAATACAATTTTATGTTTCACGTAGTTTGAAAAGTTTAACATATTTGAAGCAATTCTTCTTAATAAGATAAACAAATGAAATAATTAAGTCATTGAATTACTATAGAAATTAAATTAACAAGATAAAAATCAACTAAAAAGGTTAAAACTTTATGACAAGGAAGCGAAACTGCTTCACAATATTGCTGATGATGTTTAGTGAGTGGGCTTTTTAATTTCAATTAGTATATAAAGCAGAAAAAAGTATAACGAGTTTCAAGAATGGCAACTTAAGCGAAAATAATTAGAGTTAGTAAACCAATATATAGAAACTTTTCTTTATATCTAAGTATTTGCTATATATATTTGTGTTCTGTCGTGACCTCAGGCGCGGTGCTTGTTCATCCGCGAGTTACTTTGTGTGCGTTGTTTGTGTTTAGTAACCAGAAACTTCTTATATGTTTGGTACATAATTAGTTTTATTAACTATAACGATTATAACTTCATTGAAAACACAATTATTTTTGTAAGTCTTTGTTTAAATCATAAAAATTGCTTTAAAAGATACATTACGATAAAAAACAGCTACACACAATTACATTTACATAAAGAATTCTATATTCTTAAAACAATTTATGCTAGAAATCTCAAAACGTATTTTTTGAATTAATAGAATTAGTTTCTTCGTTAATTTTGCGGGTTTTTAATGTTCGCGAATATTCTTTTTATTCTTTCGCAAGAAGATAATTTGAGAACATTCAAGTTTATTATGTTTCCATGTATGTCCGTAAAAAAAAATTTTTTTGTTTCTTAGATAAACTTAAATGTTCTCAAAACGACTAAAAAACCTGGCCAGTTTTTCGCAACTAAATATAATTTCCGTGGTCAGTATTCGAGAGCGATCGCTCCCGCTTCCTGACCAAGCCTGAATTAACAGGCAGCAAGCTGCCATCATTATGTATGGCGCTTGGATTTTTCTTGTATCACTATCTCGAATTAAAGGAGACTATAAGAAAGTCATCGGCTGTTACCATCACGGAAATAACAAAGTTTTGGCAAAAAGCTAGAATCCCAATGAGAGATCATCAGAACTGTCAAACGAAGCTTGAACAGACATTTGAAGAATGGGGTCTTCTTAAGAAGAACAAAGAGCGAAAAACAACAACTCAACTTGGGAGAGAGTCGGCTTTTGTTTTAAGACTTGACGATCTCTTTGATGTCGCTCACGCTGATGCCCTGACCAATACATCAGTTTTACAAGAAGACAAGGATTTCTTAGTAGCCCAGCGAGAAAAGGGAAGAAGGGGGTCAATGGCTGGAGTAGATGAAACACTTGCTGCTAAAGAAAAAAAGGCTTCCAAAAGAAGGGAGCAAATGTTTGCCAGGCAACAGCGAATGGAGCAAATGAACCAGCTAGCCGTTTCTACAGCTGAACTGAAATCATCTAGTTCTGAATCTGAAAACAGTACAGCAGAGGATGTTGAAGAGACTGAAACTAGCGACAATGCAGATGAGGGAGCTGTTGGAGGCACCACTTTTCAGACACCTAAAAGAAAGAGGGGACGAAAAACTGTTGTTATTTCAGAACTCGCTGCAGCTCTAGATTGAACAAAAAAGTCAGACCGCAAGGCTGTTTTTGTTATAGCAGAAACTGCCAAAAGCTTAGGACAGAATATCAATGAATTTGCTCTTAACAGAGACTCAATTCGCAGACATAGATCAGAACACAGAGTCCAGAGATCTGCAAATATAAAAGCCGAGTTTCGGGATAACGTTCCTCTTGTTGTTCACTGGGACGGCAAACTGATTCCTGATCTACTTGGAAAAGAGAAAGTTGATGGCCTGCCCGTATTGGTTTCAGGAAAAAGAGTCTCTCAGCTACTCACAGTTGCCAAGCTTCCTTTTGGAACAGGCAAGGCACAGGCTGCTGCCGTCTTTAGAGCCATTGAAAACTGGGGCATAGCCAACAGCATCCGTGCAATGTGTTTTGACACGACCAGCTCAAATACTGGTCAGCTTGCTGGTGCCTGTGTCCTCCTAGAACAGAAACTTGAGAAAGAGCTCTTATCACTGGCTTGTAGGCATCACATTATGGAACTGATAATTGGTGCAGTGTTCCAAGTGTGTATGGGAGCAACATCTTGTCCAGATATGAATAAGCTAATTTAATATTAGTAGAGTTACGTCATTTTCTAAGCTTTTCTATTTTAAAGTAGTTTCTAGGCTTTTCTATACGCGTTTTTTTTTTTTAATTTTATTTACTAACAACGCGTATTACGGGTTGCTTACTGCTAGTGTCCAGAAGTTCCACTATTCAAACGTTTCCAGCAATACTGGGGTTTCATAGACACGGCTAATTATGAGCCAGGGATTGCAACTGATGATGTTGAACGTCTCGTGGCTGACATAAAGCAAGACACTATCATTATGCCAACAAGCATCTTGAACAGAGTCAGTCGAGGGATGATTATAAAGAATTCTTGGAACTTGTGATTATTTTTCTTGGTGCTGCTCCTGCCAGAGGTGTGCGATTCATGTCACCTGGAGCAATGCACCATGCCCGCTGGATGTCCAAAGTCATATAGTCTCAAGATCTGGATGTTTAAGGCTCAATTTAAATTGACTCCTGCTGAAGTGAGAGGATTACGTGACGTGTGTGTATTCACAGTACGTGTCTACCTGAAAGCCTGGATATCTGCACCTCAAGCATCAGGTGCTCCTTATAATGATCTGCTGCTGCTGAAGTCACTGATTGAATATTCATCAATCCATTCAGCAATCTTGAAGTCAACATCACGCAAGTTTTCCAACCACTTGTGGTATTTGTCACAGGAACTTGTTAGCTTGGCTTTCTTCAACAGTCGGGTCAGTTCATCAACCAAGAGACTGATGGTGAGTGCAATGCAAAATTAAGAAGACCAAGATCAGGATCATTCGAAGCGTATCACTGTTGATCTTGATTCATTCGGGAACAAGAACTTAGAAGAATTTGTCACAGAAAAGTCAATGAATCTACTCCGAATGATGGAAATGCCATATGGATTTCTAACAGTTGATCTGGACTTGTGGGAAGACAGAGATGACTACAAGTTGGCTGCAGAAACAGTCGAGTCTTTAAAAGTTGTAAATGACTACGCTGAACGTGGAGTGGCCCTCATTCAAGAATACAGTGGATTTTTAACACGCGATGAAACGCAGCTGCAATTCCTGCTGCAAGTCATAGAAGACCATTGCAGAATGTACCCTGATAGCAGGAAACAAACTCTGTCTGGGCTGCCGAAACCATGAATTTAAAACAATAATTCCTGAGTTTGCTCTGGACATTGTCAGGCTGATACCCTCAACTGTAAAAACTGAGCTTAGAACTCATATTTAATGTGTTTAAAAATGTTAATTGTGTTGTTTAAAATATATAGATTAGACTCGTTTCCCGTATAATTTTTGTAATATTGGATGCACTTGAGCTACCCTTAAAAACAATTATTTCTTAGCCAAACTTTTTATGCAGTATTTCTATGTTATATGGAACAGATTTGGGGGGTAAGACTTTAAAAAATACAATTTTATTTTTTTTAATTTTATAAACTCCACCCTAACACTTAAAATTTAAAAAACATTGAATTAGTTGATAAAAAATTAATAATAAAAATATATAATTTGAAGTGAAGAATTTGTGCTATTAGAAAATTTTAAAGTACAAAATAAAACAAGTTTAAAACGATAAAATGGAAAAACCGCAGGGAAAAGAAAAAACAAACATCGATGTAATGGTAGAAAATTTTCGAAAACTACATATATGTAATTAAGAGTTGTACAAAATATTAAATTATGAATTTCTAAATTTTATTTTAGTATTACAAAATTTACCTCTAAATTTTCTGCATTTAAAAAAACGGCAATATCAGTAGCTTCTTTAACTAATCTGCAGAACATCCGTGCAAGATAGAGGTAACCAGCATGTATAGAGGGTAGATTCATGACCTGCTGAGCCAATTGATTATGCTGCCCAAAACTCCACTGGAAAATTTAAATTTTACAAATTTAATATAGTCTATGTAAAAAATTAAAAATATAAAAAATTTATTACAATTTATTGTCTCTACATAACAAGAATATAACATAACAAGAATAGAGCAACAGTAACCTTGAGTATAGGGTTTTTCAGTTCCAGATACCCGGACTTGGACTCAGCGAGTCTGTGGCTAAATACCAGGACTCGGCGAGTCTCGTGATTTGAACTCCTGGCCTTGTTTTGTACACAGCGGTCTGTTTTGTGAATCCCCAACTTTTCTAGGCAGCTGTATCTGATGCCTAATAGCATGCTATTAGGCATCAGATACATCAGATAAGGCTGTATTTATACTATTATTAGGGAGGCCCATTGTCCAAAAATTTAATCAAGTTGACTGTTGGGGCAAAATAGTCAATTAAGAAATTGTTGGGTAAACGTAATCCGGAAAGAGACATATAATCAAAATATAAATTATATCACTAATGTATTTTAAAACAACAGGGAACACAAAAAATCCAATCATTCTATTGTTAAAGTTGCGAAGTAAAAAGACGTATTTGACCTGGACCCGAACCCGGACCCGATAAATATTCATAGGCTCGACTCTGACTTGTTGGGTCCAAAAAGGCCGGGTTTTCCCAAACCCTACTTGAGTAGCACATGTTTTATAAAAACATGTTAACATTTTTTTTTTTTTATAAAGTTATTTATGAAAAAAATGTTATACTTACATTTAACTGTATATAAAAAATAATATATACAGTTAAACGCTGATAACTTGAACCTCCAGGCGACCAAGGAAAATGATTTAATGATCAAATAAAGCAAGTTCCCATTAAACTTTAACTGATATGAGATATTAGTTCGCATTAAAGCAATTTTTCTTTATCAATGGTTCAGTATAAACATTAAATATTGGTAAGAATGTTCACTAATGTGTTTTAAAAACAACTTTTATTTAAAGAGATATTCTCTAACCTTAAAAAAGCGTTTGAGATAAACTGTTTTGATTAAAACAAAAGAATAAATGCATAGGAAGAAAAATGTTGTTTTATTATCATTCTTTTTAGTATGAATACGACGCTTAAGATCTTAACATGTCTTAGCCGTTTGGGATCACTTTAAAAAAAAGTTTTTTAAAACTTTTTTTACAGAATATAGAACACACTTAAGAGTTGGAGGACACCTGTTGATAAGTTATTTTTAGAAACAGTGTATATGCAAGAGCCAAGCTTTGAGCAGATACAATTATTTTTAATTAGTTAAGAGCCAACTATTATTTTCTACTAGTTTTTGGTGCTTTCATACAAAGTCATTTATTTTAGTGAAACTATAAACTTTTGTTGGTGACAGGTATCCAGTGATCAAATGCCAGTAAGTAAAAAACAATCGCATCTGTGCTTTTTTTTTTTTTTTTTTTTTTTTTTTTTTTTTTTTTTTTTTTTCATCTTCACTTCCAACAAGGCTGCAAGCAACCACTATAAGAGTTGGAAGTTACTGGAAGAGGAAAGACTAAATCTGTAGAGCAAGATAACGATTGACTGATGACTTAAAAGATTGCAAATTATATGAATCAGGAAAGCAAGATGAAGGAAGCGAATTCCAAAGAACTGATGTTCGAGGAAAAAAACTAGAAGAATAAGAGTTTTTGAAGCACTTAGGAACAGTCACAGAAAAAGGATGAGACTTAATTGAATGGCGAGTAACACGAGAATGAATTTTAGTAGATGGCACGAGGGACGCTAGCTCTTTAGAGCAGTGCCCATTATAGTATTTGTAGAAAAGAGAAAGAGAAGCAACATTACGACGATGTGACAAAGGTTGGAGATTGGCTGCCAGAGCAGGTCCAACTATGTTTACAATTCGTTTTTGCACCTTGTCTAAAAGAGAAAGAGCATCATTAGAAGATCCGCCCCAGATGTGGCAACAGTATTCCATACAGGGACGGATTTGAGATTTATAGAGATAGAGAATAGAATCTGGAGTAAGAAAGTGTCGAGCTCGATAAAGAGATGCAACCTTAGCAGATGCTAATTTTGCAATGGATTTGATATACGGTTTAAAAGAAAGATCAGAAGTAAGAGTTAATCCTAGAAGATGAATGGTAGATGACTCATCTAGTACATTACCATTCATAAATATAGGAAGATCTAAATTATTACGATAACGATTGGCCGAATAAAATTGAGTTTTATCTGAATTAAAGTTCACCAGCCACTGTGAGCCCCATGCTGTAGCAGAAGTGAGATCCTTTTCAAGCTCAGATACCCCCTCCAAGCAATCAGAGAGTGTAGGCTTCTTATCATGACAAGAGTAAATGGTAGTGTCGTCGGCGAATAATGCCACCTTAGATGTGAGAATATCTGGAAGATCGTTAATGTAAATTAAAAAGAGTATAGGGCCAAGGATTGAACCTTGAGGAACCCCTGAAGTTACAGGATGTGAAGAAGAGTGTTGTCCATCGAGGACAACTTTTATACTACGATTGGAAAGAAAGGACTCAATAATCTTAAAGACGTTACCAGCTACACCATAAGAAGAAAGCTTATGGAGAAGACCAGCATGCCAAACTTTATCAAAAGCTTTAGAAATGTCAAGTGCGATAGCCTTAACCTCTCCACCTCTATCTAATGCACGGTAAAATCTATCGGTTATTACTGTTAGCACATCAGCTGTAGAACGAGAAGACCGAAATCCATATTGATGATCAGAAAGTAAGTTATTTGATTCAAGATGAGAGATTAAGTGTTTGTTGATTAAAGATTCAAAAACCTTGCTTATGACAGGAAGAAGACTAATGGGACGGTAGTTAGATGAATCAGATCGCTCTCCGGAATTTTTGAAAATAGGGATAACAGATGCTGCTTTCCAGCATGATGGAAAACAAGACTCTGATAAGCACTTGTTAAATAGTTTAGAAAGTATGGATGAAAGCTCCGGAGAACACCTCTGCAAGACTACAACAGGAATGTTGTCAGGACCACAAGCTGTTGAAGAGTCTAAGCAGGAAATTACTTTAGATACAGAAGCTGAAGTGATGCGAATGTCAAGCAAGGGATCAACCTGTTTGACGGCTATGTCAGGTAAAACGCAACTAGTGGAATCAAGAGATGATATTGATGAAAAGTTCTCAGCAAACAATTCAGCTTTGTCTTTAGGTGAGGTGACAAAGTCTGAACCATACAAGAGAGAAGGAATAACAGATTAAAGGCTTTTAAAGGCTCACACTTTTTAGGACACTCTTCCCTATACCATTATACTACTAAAAGAGTAAAAAATATTTCAGTAAAAAACATTTTTTATATTCATGCAGTATATTCATACTGCAGACTCAAAAGATAACATAAAGCATTAACATAAAACAACGTTAAGACTTCCTTCTTATTTGGGAATAACACTTAGTCTAAGAGGTCAATTAATTTATTAAAACAATAAAATTCATTAAACTATTAAAACTATGATACTCATTAAAACTATAAAATATTTTCTTTATTTATGAATCAGGTTATTTTTTTTATTTGTTCGAGTTATCCAAGGTTCGACTTAACCAGAGAACTTTCACAGTAATCAGTAATTTCAAGGGACCAAATGAAATAGTTAACAACAGTTCTGAAACAGATAGCAAAAGTTTGAGTGGCATTCATCTTACTTGGAATAAACTGCAAGTAAATACTATTATTTAACTAAAACAATACTTACCAATCCTGGTGGAGGAGGTATCACTCTTGAAACTTCATTCCTTACACGGATATGACCATCTACAGCCCAGTTAATTGAATTAGGACCACTAGTTCCCGGAGCTTGAAGCCACTCTACCTCATTTAATTCCAGGTTATTATTTGAGTTCAATGGTGGAAATGGATCATCTACATTTTCCTCACTGCTAGAATTATCTTCCTCTAAGATAGGAGAAGATGAAAGCATTTCGCTATCATTATAAGGTAACATATTGGTAGGTGGAGGTACAAAACAATTATTAACTCCTGTATTCCTAAGAATTATTATAAAACCAATTGTTATAAATAAGAATTTTATATATATGTGTGTGTGTATATATATATATATATATATATATATATATATATATATATATATATATATATATATGTATATACATATATATATATATATATATATATATATATATATATATATATATATATATATATATATATATATATATATATATATATATATATATATATATATATATGGGTGTTCCTAAAATTTGACTTTTTTAAATTTCCACTGACATTGCTTAAAATTAACTTAAAAAAAACTTAATAGTAAAATATTCTCAATAAATAATTCTCAATAGTAAAATGCCACCAAAAAGTTTCTTAATAGTAAAATACCACCAAAAAGTTACTTAATTGTAAAAAGCCACCAAAAAAGAAGTTGAAGCTTACTCAAAATAAGGCTGAAGTATTTCTAGTAAAAAAAGTTAGAGAAAACCTTTCATGTTATAAATTTTTAACTGGCATAGAAGTTTTGCAATACTACCTGTATCTAAGAAACTTGATTCCCAAAGTAAATAAAACGTTTTAAAAAAAGTTTTAATTAGGTGTGACTTCAAAATTAATTCATTTGAGCTCAGATGCCCTCCACAAGCTTACTGCTGTTTAATGTCTAAAAAGGCCATGGAATCTTGCAGGATTCCCTATCGTAACTTAGAAAACATTAGGTAAAGTATGAATTCAAAATTTACCAACAACTTTTTTTTTATCTTTATTTAAAACTTTAAATAAATTTTGCAAATTTAAAGAAAGAAGATTGATAAAATGGTGAATAACTATTACAAGTTAAAGAATAGCAAAAGGAATGGCCCAACAGATACTAAAAGGAATTAGGAATTTTTTGAAAGAACCTTAAAAATGTATTTTGATTAGTAAAAAAAAGAAGAACTAATTGAAAATACTATGAAAGACAGGAGAAGGACACCCAAAGCAAAAAATGAAGGTATTGCATTTATTTTGGACCAACTTGGAAATAGGATGGGAAAAATAGGAACAAATGATAAAAGGTTAATGTACACTATAAGAGATCCCACAAAAAATAGTGCTCCATGTTAAACATGGAAATTAAACTAAACAATGTTAACAATCTATACAGTTTATAAAATCTGTGAATATGTAGCAGATATAAAAAAAGAACAATCAACCTCTATTGTTTTGTTACCAAAAAAAAATTAAAAAAAAAAAGTTCTCCCAGCAATAGGTAACTTTCAGTTAGACAACACAATGCAATAGTGGCAAGTGTTATTGCTGATTCAGGAGATGATGTTACTAATTTTGCAATATCTTCTTCAAAAGAGTTTAGAGTTGCAGAGGAAGTTGTAACTAAAGAAGGAGAAAAGATTAAAAAACATGTTACTGATCTTGTTAAATCTTCACCATTACCAATTATTCTCCATTTTGATGGAAAAATAGTTAAGGAGTTCACATACGGAATAGAACATCAATTTGACAGACTTGCTGTTTCCATCAATATAAATGGACAGAGCTTCTTGGGATTCCTCATTTGAACTTTTGTACTGGAGAAACACAGAAGAATACAATCATAAAACTTCTTCAATTGAAGAATACAATCATAAAATTTCTTCATCAATTTGATATTTTTGATAAATTACAAGGATGCGTTTTTGATACAACTTCTGTAAATACTGGTAAAAAAAAAAGGGTGTGTGCAAAAGATTAGCTGCAGAGCTTGATAGACCTCTACTTCTCCTAGGATGCAGGCGTCACATCTATGAAAGGTATATTATTCACTGCTGGAACATTTATCCAAGCAGTAAAACAAATTGTCTAGATAATTTATTTATTAAGAAGTTTAAAGATGTATGGAACTCAATTGATAAAAACTCCATTGTGTTAAACAAAGTAAAAATTGAAGATATTTTTTATGGCTGGCTGCAGGTACAGTCCAAGGAAGCCTTATCATTTTCTCAAAATATTATCAGAATGAAAACAATGAAAAAGATATTTTAAAATTTTGAAAAAATTGAATACTCTGTAAAAAAATAAGTTTAGTACTGTTTTGTGTCTAAACAAATAGTCTTATTTAGGATGGATGTAGGTCTGATTATCTAGTGTTAGTGGAATTTACAACAATGGTTTTATCTGGTGATAAACAGTACAGACTGGTAAACCTGGGCCTGTAAACCATCCCAGATTAATGGCAAAGGAAATGTACTTTCTGAACATGTATCTCCTTCTAGGCAACATTTCTAGCTTTACAGATTTCGGGAAGAAAGAAATAAATAATATGGCATTTTTCACAACTGTATTTTACACTGAGTGGTTTATAAAGAAATTCCGGCTGTCTCTGCATAACAGGTGACATTTCTATGTTTTAAAAGTTTTGATTCATTTTGGTTTTTATTACTTTTTTTTTCTTACAATATTTTGTGTAATATTTAATAGTCTAAAAATCCTTAGGATATGAAAGCTCTTAGGCAGATGGTGAGATACTCAAAAATCAATCCTTTCCAGGCAAAACTTGTTATAGTCTCTAAAGAGACACACCTGGTACATAGACCCAAATATTTTAGTTATGTCTCTTATTGACAAAAATGTACAAGAACGGAGTGACATTGCCAAGAAGTTGTACTCAACCCCAAGACCTACAACTTTTGCCATAGAGACATCAAGTTAATTTAAATATACTGAATCCCTTATGTTTAATGATGATACTTCACAAGTTTGACCCCGCTTATAACTGACCAGAGTTGTTTAATTTTTCTTATCTTCAACCATGCAAATGCTGAATGCAAATGGCTTAAGACTCCATCTGAGACATGGGATCTAAATGACTATTACCTAGAATTCAAACATTTTGTGAATAATCTTGAAGTAGTAAACGACTGTAGTGTGAGGACTATAAAACTAGTTCAGGTATCTATTTTTTTATGTTTGGTCCTTAAAGAAAAATTTATTTGGATAATAATAACACTCCTCTCAGTCTGAAATTTATGTATATAAATATATCTGCTTCATGTCCTGCTGCCTTGTAGGATATAGCTTTTTAGGTAAAGGCTAGGAGATGCAAACTCCGACATAAAACACCCCCTGCCTTGGGGCTCTTGGTTGAGTAAAGGCTAGAGATGGTGTCTCGATAAAAATACTCATCTTGGGCAGATGTTACATGCATCCGGCTGCTGTCTTGTAGAAGGCCTCCTAGGCAAAGACTTAAGGGGTAAACAGATTCTATCTGTTGACCAGCCTCGCACCCCTTTGTCATCTAGTAGGCTGGCGCAGATGTATTTTTAATACATTGTTTCCAGTTTAGGATGTTGAACGCTGGATCTTCTTGACTCGATTCATGGGTTTTGCTTGTGTCTCTGTTTTTATGACTAGGCAACTCATTCTATTATCTCCAAATGAGGGTACAGCTCTAAAACTCAGTTTTATGGTTCTGAGGCCGGCTGGTAGTCAGGTTTCCCGATCTCTGTGGTAGCTCTCAGAGAGGCTGATTCCATCAACAGCTGAAAAATATCAGAGTACTTACAGTGCCATGTTGCGCATGGGTGGTGTCCCTGTTTGTACTTTTGGTGTGCATTGCCAAGGCCACATTGGAGCCCTTTGTTACGGCTTAGGGTTTATTAGTGGAAATGAGGCCATTGCTTGAGCTATAGAACAGTGTACTGAGTACTATCAATGATTCGAGTCAAGTTCTTTAACAAATTTAAAAATGAATAAAGTAACAAAAACTATAAAACACAAAAAACCACAGTCATCACCAAGTTCGCTAAACCTATCATTCACCAATATTCGTGGTCTTCGAAGTAACTTTTCTTCTGTTTTCTTCTGCTTGCTCTTTGTAAGACTAATTAGAGTTCAGCTGTCTCATCTTGTGATCTTAGTGTTGATGGTTATCTTCCTTTAATTCGTAAAGACTCCAATAGTCACATGCTTGGCCTGGGCATTTACATTCGTAAGAATTCACCCATTTGTCGGGAAATTAGGTTTGAATCCACAGACTACTCTTTTATGTGCTTTCGTTTAGCACCACTTCACTCTATCTTCTCTTTGTTCTATATCGCTCTCCCTTATCCCAAGACTGCACTCTTCTTGATGTTATTTCTGATTATATTGACCAAGCCCTCATTCTTTATCCATCAGCCAATATTGTTGTTGTCGGTGACTTTAATGTTCATCACACTGAATGGCTTGGCTCTAGTGTCAGTGACTCTGCAGGCATTAAGGCCCACAACTTTTGTCTTTCTCAATCCCTAACTCAAATAGTCAACTTTCCAACTTGCTTTCCAGACAACCCGAATCATTTACCTTCTCTACTCGACTTATGTCTTGTTTCTGATCCTAGTCAGTGTTCAGTTTCTTCATACTCACCCCTAGGTGCGTCTGATCATGGTTCGGTCTCTCTAAAACTATTATCTCATTCTTCTTTACCATTAGAATCCCCCTATCATCGTACATCTTACAACTATCTTAACAGACGTCTCTTTATTACTGCTAGGAAACATTGTAAAAAGGTTTTGTCTAACGCTATTCTCAGATCATGAAATCTCGTATTTCATCACAAAAATTAGGCTCTCGTGACTTCTGGAGAATCTTTAACAGTATCAATAATAAGGGCAAGTCTGTAATTCCACCCCTTTTGTACGGTTCAGACTTTGTCACCTCACCTAAAGACAAACCTGAATTGTTTGCCAAGAACTTTTCATCAATATCATCTCTTGATGCCACTAGTTGCGTTTTACCTGATATACCCGTCAAACAGGTTGATCCATTGCTCGATCTAAAGTGATTTCCCGCTTAGACTCTTCTACAGCTTGCGGCCCAGACAACATACCTGTTATAGTCTTGCAGAAGTGTTCTCCTGAACTGTCGCCTATCTTTTCAAAACTATTCAACAAGTGCTTATCAGAGTCTTGTTTTACAGCCTGCTGGAAAGCAGCATCTGTTATCCCTATTTTCAAAAATTCTGGAGAGCGATCTGACTACCGTCCCATTAGTCTTCTTCCTATCATAAGCAAGGCTTTTGAATCTTTAATTAACAAACACTTAATCTCTCATCTCGAATCTCATAACCTACTTTCTGATCATCAGT